TATTGTGAACGAAGCTTTTTAGTAGGCTTCCAGGAAATACGAAATTGTCAATACTTTGAACCACAAGTTCCCGAGTAAATCGGTTGCAAATTCAAATGTTTAAAGAGTCTAGAGGCAATAACATTGCTTGCGAAACTCGAAGAAAATACATACTACTCGTGCTTGCGACACGTCAGGAATAAATTGTATTTTACGACTGCCTAAAAACCCGAAAGAGCCACCAGATTTCGTTTTATAAAAAAAAAATTACTGCATAATATTAGAAACTTGTTCAATAATTATTAACTTGCGCCTAGTTGGAGCGAAAGAAGCTGATTCTTAATTATTTTCAATAATTATAAAATCAAAGTAATAAATTCAATTTACTTATTAATAATTGACAGGTACCTTTATAGGTACCTGTCTTTGATGTTTGTTACATAAAAGCTTTAGGAAAACTGAAATTTATAGTAATATACTGGGCGGCCCATTTGAAACAAGCGACTTATGACGAGAAGTATAACCGGAAGTCACACTTTTTTTAAATATTCTCGATATATTGTATGTATTGAATTTTGCGGATAGCAGCCAATATTTGTCGGACACTCTCTACAACGCACTGGTCAAATAATTAATGGCGGTTTTCTGTGGTAAAAATATTACGATTTGGAACAACCTAGTTTGAAAAAAACTGAACAATTCGTAGAGTCAAACTATTTTTTAATGTTGTTTTTCAGTCAGTCACAAAAACATGCAAATGATTCGCTTCTGAATCAAGTTAATTCCGATTCTGTTAAGTAACACCCAAATACCTGGCTTCAAATGTTTTTAAACAAAAAGGTATACACAGTTGGTCTCCTCGGATAAACCGTTTTCCAAACATCTTCAATTTAAATATTCGATGCAATGCATTTCTTCTTAGACGTAAATATAAATCTACGTAAAAAATATTCATTTAGTATGCTGTAATGCTTTTTAATTAATTTGACTCTGCACAGTGATCCTGATGTTTTATCACACAAATTAAATGAAAATTTGTATTTGCATTTGCTACAAAATAATAACCTTAATTTTTTGGAAAACAAACTTCCAAACATAAGAAATTATATTTACTGATGAAGGCAGTAGCTCCAGCTCATTTCCCATTGAAAGTGAAGAATTAGTTAAATGTATATTTCTCGAATCGTTGGGTTGGTAATAGCCAACACGAAGTCCTATTTCCAGTACCCTAGATTTTTCTTTATGAGGATGCCTGAAGTATTTAGTGTCAGACGAAACTATAGATACCCGAGACAAATTATTATTAAAAATTCAAAACACTTAAACAGAAACGTCTATTTTTTAAATTCGAAAAACGTTTGATTAAATATATATATAATAGTTACTGAATATTTAGAAAAAAATTTGTCAAAATATGATCAGTTCTTTTTTAGTGTTATTAAGTTTATTTATTGTTCTGTGCATAAATTTGGTAATGTTCATCAAATAATTATTTTGCTCTTTATTCCATCCATAAATCTCATCTAAGCCTTTTTCCATGAATGCATCGCTCCGAATTGTATGTACTTGCATTGCAGTTGTGCCAAAAACCGTTGAATTTAGGGGTACCAACGAGGAATAACTTTTTTCTTTATAATATACTGGAAAATATTTATTCGTATGTTTCAGACAGAAGTTAGGGCGATTGTAAAGCGAAGCATTTGCTGCAGGCTGCAGGTGTCGCCTTCCAAAAGCCGCCTTAAAGCTGAGCACATAATCAAATTTGTAACCATCGAAAACACTTGAAAATCTGATTAGACAATTTAGAAAAGTAACTTTGACTCTGTTTATTTCTACTTCTCTTCACTTCTGTCATCGGAAATTATTTATTTTGCATTTAAGGCAAGTTGTACAATAAGGGAAATGGTACTATTTTCCCCAGAAATTCGGCGGTATATTTTGTATCATACTTACTGGTTCCTTTCCTCATACAAGAGAGTCTCTCTTTGCTTATATAAAGTGGGTCTTGTATGAATACTAAAACAGATAGTCGTTTAAACGTCCCCATAACTTTATGTCCACTTAAATCACGCCATGGAATAACGCTCGACCATTCGGGCGTTGCTTATGAACACGTTTCAAAATCGCCGTTATACCCACGTGACACTCTACAAGGAAAGAACTGAATTGTGTTTTGACTAAATGACTGAATTGAACCTAATAACTTTGAACGAGTAGGTAAATAGTTGTCGAAGTTCATCCATATATATATTATTAATAAGTGCAAAACCTCCAACAATCATCCAATGCGTCATTCTGAAATGCATCACAGAATCAAATAATTGAGAATGGGTGCTTAGCTCGTCTGCATTACTAACACCAGGTGGTTGGCACCATAGGGAGGGTGTTAAAAACGCACATTAATCACCATCTTCAAACCCAGAAAATGCAATTGAAAGAGCCTTACTACAAAAAAAATTGATGATTCATCATCTGGGGTCTACAAGATTTGATGAAACTGCGCCTAGTGGATTCAAACGGAGAGTCAGCACCAACACTACCGAACCCAAAAGAAGCTGGGATTGGGACAGACGAACAATATGATGTGGCGAAACTCATACATCATCACATCACCTCGGCCCAATCTTCTCCATACATATATCGGCGACACCAGTTGATATGTCCAGTTGAGATATCAGTCTTTCTAGAGAACCACGGAAAGCAATTTCAACCGTTACCTGACTGCATTCAACTATGGTCAACACAGAAGAACAACTTATAAGCCAATATAATGTTTCAACTGATATTTGACCGGCCCTAAAAGCCTGCAAAGTCTTATTAAATCTTATTCAGATCATTAAGAGTTTCTAACAGTTTTAGCGCTTCTGCGGCCTTATTTACTAAACCTTGATAAGTTTGAAAGAGTATTTCTCTTAATACTTAATCTGCTTGGGATGTGTTCTGATTTGTTCTCTTGATACTTCGCTGATCAGAAATTGATTTTAAAAGTTTAATCAGCCTGCGCTACTTTACTCAAGATATTAATGGCTTGCCTCCAATTGCTCAAATAACACATTTGCATTGTGCTAAACTCGAAACTAACAGTATTAAGGAAGTGTGCATTTTCTCTGGCAATTTGGTTCATCTTTTACCAGGCTCACCCGCTGAGAATTCTTGATTAGTTTGAAAATAAGGACTTAAGTACGATATCAAGTAAGTTATGTAAAGTTCTTAGCTAGCTAAAACTAAACTTCGTGATTGAGCATTTTCAGTTGGATACTATTACAAGATGACTCGCACTAACAGATAAGAAAAATATTATTTTGTCTATGATTGAGACCATGTCCATTTTACTTAAAGGTAGCAAAATTAAATATTTTATTCAAATTAGAACCAGTCCGACTGGATGAAAATCAAATATTGCTTCATACCTAACGGACATTGACCTTTTAACTTCAAACTTTGAAATGTTCTTTCTTAATTTTACACATTATTAGTTATGAAAAATGTTAAACTGATAACAAATAAATTTAAGAAAAAAATTAAATTGAATAAGTGCTAGATCTCGTCAGAGCTTCGGACTTAAACAGATGTAAAGTTTTCCTCTATATGCCCTCTTTTTTCTTCTATATGCCCAGCTTTTGCAAATCGGGAAATCAACAAAAAATTATACCAATTAACACAGAAAAACGGGATTAACTACTAATTATCGGGTGGAGAGTATATTTGAGCTTGAGGGTGAAAAGAGAAGCAGGCTTAAGAACTTGAGCGTTTGATCATGTCCTTTGTGAGGAGTCTAAAGAGAGTATAAAGTCGCTGGATTAAAAGTGGTGCAGCGGCAATAGTCAAAGAGGAGACTTGATTTACTCGAATAAAGTTTACTGGTTTAAAATTGAAAATTCAAACTTATCTAAAATTCAAACATTTTCACATACTTTTTTGGAAGAACAACATCCTCATCTATTTCTACTTAAACTATCGTAAATGCATTTACGATAGTTGCTTAGATTATTCGATTAGTCAGTAGCTATATTTTGACTTTGCTCATTAAGTAAAACCAACTTTTCGAAAACAATCCAACAGATCCTTGTTTTGCTGTTTTTTAAATTGAATTTTGATTCCACGATATAAATTTCCATCCCATTCACTGTTCTGGAGAAATTTAACATAATAAAATTTTGACTAGATCCCAATCAGCTTCAAAATGAGTTGTAACTAGTTGCATGTACTGAACTTTCGCCATTTTCAAATTCTCTAAAATTTCTCGGTGTGCGAATAAAGCAGCATAAAACTTGTTGGGGAAGAATTGCTTATTCAAGAATTTGGAACGCGTTGTTTTGATATTCGACTCTCCTCCTTTGTAATTGAAATGCTTATTAAAACTTGATACAACCGTGTGGAAGTACAATATCAAAAGTTTCAGCTGTACAAGTAAAGTTTGTGAGACAGTAGAAAACAGATCCGCTTATTAGAGCTTCGTCCCAATATATAAAATCTCCAAGTTTGCAGCTTATTTAAATGATGATGAGATGCTCATAAATCAATATTTTCATTTTCAATCGAGGTACAGATATGAGAATTTAATTTAATAAATGGTAAATTTGGGAAAGCGTAAATAAAATTAAAACTAGAACGCTAGCGAGATTTAACTAAGTTGCATAGCATGGATTAAATCAGTTAATTAATAAATGTCAAGTTATCAAATAAATGTAACTTAAAATTAACGTTACAAATTAAATTGAAATTAAGAGTTCAAAACATTAACTTCCTCACTTTTTATAAAGTGCTCCAGAGTTGCTTAATCCCATTTTACTCTTGAATGATTGCTGACAGGCAGTCTTTCATAAAAGAATTCGCCGTCCATTTTATAGGAAAATCAATAATACAATCTGCAATAAGTTGAGAAACTTTGAGGTAACAAAATTTTTACGACGAAAATTTTATTAAAACTTGTATTAAATTTCGGGTAATATTTCAGAGAACTTTCTCTGCGTTTTCGTCTGATAAACTTTCGAAAAATTACGCAATAAAAATGAACTTACCTCGAGCTGGAATGGGATCCTTAACGTTGGTAAAAGTGATGTCGGTATCTTGCTGATATAAATCTCCCATTTGAGCCACGCACTTCAGAGTTAATCGGCCGTTGTGGAAATCATTTGGAGAGAGGACCAGCTCCAAAAAAGATTCCGTTCGAATTAGATCTCTATCCGGAATCTTTTTGGTTACAGATTTATCAAACACCTAGAACAATGACAAATAGACCAATTAGAAGATTTCGATACATTTTTTGCATACGAATAAAGCTTTCAGTACTTAAAGTACAGGGTTGAAAACCACTAAGGATGAAAATGAAAGCTATTTTAAAGTATATCATTGCGTACCTCTCGGTCAAAAACAATTACAATTATATTTCACTCGTCAGCTCAAAGAGTATACTAGAACACTAGTAGTTCTAACTTTAGTAGGTATTGGCTTATAAAATAAATTTTAAAATATTATTATTGCTTTCACATGTGTGTGGTTTAACAAGAAATTCAAGAAACGAATGAGGATTTTATACCCGCATACCTTTAAACACTTCTTAGCAAAATTAAAAACTTTATCCTGCGCTAACAATTAGTGAAATTATTATGATAGGAATATTTTGTGCCCATAAACAGTATTCTATTTTGCCGGGTTTTAAAACTGGAAAGGGACACATCTGCTGTAGCTCTTCACATACAAAGTAGTTTAACTCCTGTTGAAATCCCAAACAAACGACTGACCCAAATCATAGGTTTACTATTGCTAGTAAACTACCCCCCAATTTTCGAAACCGTCACAACGAACCATTAAGTGTGCTGAGTTGTGTGAACACTAGATTATTTATTCTGAATAAGTACTTAAATAGAAATGGTAATGAGACACTCAATAATGACAGATATTTCCTAAAAACTAATTTTAATCGCACATATCAAGTACAAAACCAGTTCATGTGTTTACTTGCTTTAAACTGTTGGATGCAATAACTCACTTCACATTTGCTAAACGTGCAAGACAAGCATTTTAGAAAATACCATCAACAAAACCGAAAAATTAATATCAGATAATTTACAATGCCTGTATCGGAGACTTTCTGTGTGATACTTTATCAATGATTTATCGCATGTTTCTTGAGACTGTTTTCGTTCGTATCGTCAATCCAAACAGCTAGTGCAGTCGATATAACGAAAATTTATAGGAGTGTGCCTGATGTCTATAACCCATAAAATTTACGAGTGGAAGTCTAGCGGGGAGGCATGAGTGGTAATTACTTTTTCAGTTTTCAGGAACATTTTCTCATTCTCTCTCTCTCAGGAACTCATTCTTTTTCCATCGGACGTTGCATTTGCTGGAAAATTTAACTGTTTTCCAATATTTTATTTTCATACTTTCTTAATATGTTACGGGATGCTTCAATAAGTAAATACATCAGCGAAATAATTTATGGAAATATTATGTTAAAGTAAGTAGCCGTTTCAAAATTTGTTGAAACCTCGTTATCCAATCTTACTTTATTTTGCCATTAGCAGGTTTGGTGCAATATTTATAAAGCTTTTTACAATTTATTATAGCATAGATAATGTTTTTATTTGTGACTAACTAAACTAAACACGGAACATAACACTTTACCGCATACCAAAAAATACACAAATAATTATTAATGATCATGTTAATGTGCTAGAAATGAAGCATACATTGGTAGTGTGGCTAAGATACCAAAAAAATCATTGTTTAAAGCTATGAGTTTATTTTACCATTAGAGATCATTATTAAAGTTATGAAATAAGAATTATGTGTGGACGAGTGTCCTTTATGCGAATTCGTATGTATAAATTGGATCATTCGCTCCTTTCGCATTCAAAGGCCTTAAGGTTCCAGTTCACTTGGCCAAAACTACCATAAATAACCATTCATTTTAAGTGGAGATTTTAGTATTGATTTTTATTCTCATGAAGATGGATTTGACACACGACATTGTAGCAGATAAAAAAAAGTCGAACAGAAGTGGTATTAAGAACTTTACCTTACTAGCGCCTTAACAAGGATAGAGAAATATACATATTTTCAATTAAAAAAATATGTTAAGTTAAAGCATGTCTCGCAAATGTTTCGATTGTACGATTAGTCATAGACCCGGTATCTCAAAATGCTGCTTGATGGCAAATGCAATATTGAGATTTCCAGAACTGACGACTTGGACAAACACACTGATTTTTTTGTATTCTTGTCTAACTCCTTAAATGAATCGGCGCTAATTTTGCATCATCTTGTAGTGAACAATTCATTGAAAATAACCATCAAACATATTTCCTTGTATTTCATATACACTTGCCCCATTTTGCGGCAACTGTATCTTAAGTGTAACTTTGTGATTATTTTCTATAATACGATTATCCAGTACCGACAACGTAAAGTGTTATTACTTACGTGGTTTACCAAAAATGCATATGTTTCTATGACGTATACCTATAGAAATTCCATTTATCAATACTTGCTGCTGGATAAAAGATGATGGAGGCATTTTTCTCGCTTAAGGTAAACCCGTAAAATTAAATTGAAAATGTTACAAACAAGTAGCTCTTCAAAATTCCATCTAGGATATTAAATCTCCTTTTATTTAACGTCATATAAAGTTGAGAAGCGGAAGTCGCTTTGCAGGAAAGGGTGGAAGTCATTTAATTCGGTGGATGGTCAAAGGAAACTTTATCAAGCGGCACACTTGTGTAAGAGTTAATTAATTCGATTTTAGAGTCTCAACACTTTTCAGTAAAGGCAGAAATCATAATGTTGAAACATGACTGCATAGAAGTATTGAACCAACTCAATTTAGCTATTAAATTTCCTAATACCCAGGTGAAGTCGGAAATTTTGGGGCTTTGACCTATCAGAAGCAGAAATGTGCTGATAGCTGGGGTTTGTTTGTTAGCTGAAAATTGAAAACTGCATTGAAGTGGTACCTGTTGTGTCCAAAATAAAAACGGAGTTAGCATTATTAGAATTAGAAAAAGCATTATTCGAGCCTCTCATCGGCCCATTCACAATCAATCATCCCTTCTCACAATATTTAAACATTGTAGCAAAAAATGCAATAACGTTATATAATTTAAATCTAGAATGAAATGTAGCAAGCGTATAAGTATATATTTACTCGCTTAAAGTGAATGTGTTTTCTAAAAATACAATCAACAATTGCAGCAATCACACAACAATTTAAAAAATACAAGCAACAAGACGATTTTATATACTTATACATAATAAGCCTGGGCCTGAATTTTTTATCGCACCGGCGCACTAACTCAGTTCCGCTGCCGGGAAAATGTTGATGACTTTTTTACTTGTTTTTAGAAGGGCTATTTCTCAATAATATTTTTTAAATTTCTTTCAAGTTCTTCAAAGTTCAGATTTTTCCAGTGTTAGCCAAGTTACTCTTTCTTCTATATGCTCAATTTCCTCAGTTTCACTTAAAAATGTTGACAATCGTACGGTATTTTCGCGAAAAAAAGGTGAAATCCTTTTCCAGTGTCGAATTTGGAACTAAAATAAAATAATTTTTTATGAAATACGCGAAAGTTTACTGTAGACTGTAGACCTCTGAAGAGTGTAGAGTTTTTTTTAAATGCGGGTTTTTAGCTTTGACTTAATTTTTTTGCTTTATTTTTTATTCAAAAGCGATCTATTTTGTAGAGTTTCGCTTAAAAGTACTGACGATCTGGAGGTCTGTTACGCGAAACATTACAAGATAAATTTATGGCTTTGTAAAAATTTTACAAAAACGTTTTTTTTTACAAAAAAAGTTTCTATTAATCAATTCTTTCAACCCAAAAATAGCATTATCTTTTAGTTTTACTTAAAATACTAACAATCTTGGGGTATTTTCTGTGAACAATTGTAAGACAATTTTTATTGGAACACTCGCCTCTTTAACCGCTTTGCAGACATTTTTCGAAAACTTTTTGCMGCTTCGAATTATGGACAAAACCATAATAATTAGTTCTGGGTCTTTTTCGAAACATTTTTCCCGAATTGAAAAAGCGAAAGTTTAGAATCATTTATTTGGAAAACTGTTAAAAAATGGGGAGGTCAATATTTCTAAACAATATTGTCTAAACAGAAAACCGCGTTTTTACTAACGTTTTACCGTAAAATACTGGCAAACTGAACCTTTTATGCAAAAAAATTAGCAGATCGATTTTACAAGAGAACTCGTCGACTTTCTTTTGACTCAGTTGTGTTGTTAGGAAAATCTAGATTACTTTTTTAGTTGTCTGAACAAAGTAGTAAAACGTTACTAAGAAAAAATGTTGGAAACCTTTTTTTTAGGTGTGAAAATTCCAGTCTCGGGCTCGTAACCCTTTAATAAATGACTCATAACTCATTAACCGATGAGTTATGAGTTAAAGTTATAAATGGTAAATTTATTTACCTACTATTAAAAACGTTCTTCTTTACTATCAATAATTAAATAAAAAATTAGTGAATTCGAATTGAATTTCCTGTTTTAACAGGAAATTTAATGGCTTTTCTTATTAATCTGTTTTTACGCCTTAAATGTTACGCTTCATATTTCTGAAAGGTCTGGTTGCCATTTTAACGTATGTAATAGATTTTTCCAGTAGAGCCTCAATTATTAAGACGCATTAAATCGCGTTATTCCTCTCTTAATATAAAGGCACCGACTACGTTGTGTCTGACGGCAATATGCACTGCTAGCAAAATGTTGTGTTAAAAATATTAATTATTTGAAGTTTTGTTGAGCCATATTATGCATACGACGGATGTTAAATTGAACACAATCCATTTTTTTTTCTTTGAGACTTTTATTAGGTAGCTGAATTTTTGGTATTCGTTTAACCACCCTAATTTATTTTCATGTTTCTGTTTTCCTTCAAAAGATTGAAGATCATTTTCAGAGCCCTCCGGTTCTGTACTAAACAAACTTAATTAATACTTCTATTTTGCCATCGCCATAAAATCACGTGAACCAATTAAATAGGTGAAACCCTTAAAATATGCAAAACTATGCGTATGTGCAGTTCTGCAACAAATAGTTTTAATTTCAAATTATGTATCGGGGTATTACTGAATAAGTTTTGTGTGGACATGCACTAATCGAATTTTAGTCTAATTTGGGATACTTATTTATTGCACAATGGATAATATTAGCTGCAAATTTGGCAGTGAAGATTTAATTAGTGCCAGATCAAAAATTATTATAGGTC